CTAAGAATTCAATTCATTAGTCTAAAATTAAAATAATAATAATAATATTGAAGAATTCTAAATTTTATATTCATCGAAAGTTTCAATAAATAAAAAAAGAAAATTTTCTATAGGAGTACGAAGAAAAAAAATTAGTTATTTTACTCAACAAAAATTGATAAAAAATCAATAAAGGAAAGAAAAATTGATCAAAAATCAATGAGGGGCATGAAAAATTGATAAAAAATAAACAAAATATTTGTATAATATCTTTAATTTGAATAAAAAACATGAAAAATTGATAAGAAATCAATGAGGGGCATGAAAAATTGATTAAAAATCAAAAAAAATTGATAAAAAGCCAGTACGGAGTTGCCATGAAAGGTAGCGTTCTTATTGACAAAATGACGTGATTGTAAAATTGATTGTTAAGTACCGGAAGTATTTCTTGAACTATACGAAACTAAAATTATATATTAGCTTGGGGAAAAAGAAATCCATTAATCGAACATCTACGATCGGAAAATGAACACTTTCGACAAATGCAAGAGGAAGCATTTTGCAATTTTTTCACAGATGGCAGCGATGAACTTTATGAAATATTTAAACAACATGTAGAGATTATTGTTTCAAATTCGAAAAGTTATAATGAATCAATTACTGGTGGGACAGAAGCGACAGGGGTGAACGAATTCTTTCACAATGTCGATAGGGAATTGGGAGCGCAGAAAAAGGAATATGATAAAGATTTACAAGTATTGCAAGAACAAGAAACTTTGATAGTAAAAAAACGCATCGAAAATAAAGAACTTCTCAACAAACGTTTAACCGAATTGGAGAAAGATAGAGAGTTATCAGAACGTCTTGCCGAGGAATTGAAAGGTTTAGAAAATGATCAGGGCCGAGTAAAAGAAGTGAGAGAAAAACGGGCTGATGTTGAGAAAAAAATTAAAGGGGAACTTGATCACATCAACCAATTGAAAGGCTCTATAGCTGAAATGGAAAATGAACAATCGCATGTACTTTTAATGATTCAAATCAAAGAGCAGCAAATACAAGAACTTGTAAATAGACAAGAACAATTTGAAATGTCTTTTAATAATGAGAAATTGGCAGTTCAACAATTGCAGCAATCGGTTCAAAATGTGAGAACTTTAATCCAATCGGAAGTGAATACAATTGCAGTTTGAACACAAAAGAAAAATGAACTTATTGAAACATCTGGCAAAGAAATGGCAAATTTGGAAAAGCTATATCAATTGAAGAAAGAGCAAGTGGAAAGTAATTTAAAAACAATTCAACAGGCGATAGCAGGAAAAAGCACAATTGTACAATACGACTGAACAACAGTACAATCTGTTATTAATTGCCAATGAGGAATTGCAGAAAAATTTACAAGATATAAAACTTCGAAAAAAACAACTTGAAAGGGAATTGAATGAATCTTTAACGAGAATTAATAAACTTATTAAACAGAAAGAGGCAGAAGAGGTAAATTTACGTAATTTTGAAGATATTTTAAATAATCTCATTAAAGAGCGAAATTTAAAAATGGAAGAGAAACAGCGGTTAGAAAATGCCACCAATCAATTGGATAGGGAAATTAGAGAATTAACTATTAGAAAGACACAACTGGCAATTGACGCGGCAGCAGTTTCAGAACAGGAGAATGATGAAAATAAACAATTGCTCGAAAGAATGTACGTGATGGAAAAAGAAAATACAAATCTTTTAGAAAAACACAATAAAATGATGGAGGAGAAAGAACAGATTCAACGGGAAATTGAACAGACGGGTAACAAGTTGGCAAAATTGAAAAAACACGCAGATGAGATGATTGGCATTTATACTGAACGACAAAAGGAATTTTTGAACATTAAAGAAAACGTTGATGTGCTCGAGACAGAAAAAAAAACTGCTTTAGAAAAATCAGCAGCACTCTTGGAAGAAAAATTACAACTTGAACATGAGAATGAGGAACAGATTAAAACACTAACTGAACAGAGGGAAAATTACAAATTTCTCATTAGTAGCAACGAGAATTCATTGCGCTCCATGGAAAAAGAACTGGACAAATTGACTGCACGGAAACAAACACGACTGCAAGAAATCAACTCACTAATAGCCGATATAACAACAGACGATAGTTTACAAGAACAGGAAAATAATCTTGAACGGGAAATAAATCAGTTGGAAGAACAAATTTTCACAGCACAAATTTCCAAAGAACAGACTATTGCAAAATTTGACGAGGAAGAGAAAAAAATTGCCGCACAAATCGGGGAACGGGAACGACAGAAACAACAATTAATAAATGTGTATAAACAACTGGATAAACAAAATACACGAAATAGGGAACGGGTCGATGAGTTGGAGGGGGAACAGAAACAACTATTGACACAAATTGATAGTATACATGCGGAAATATCTGCTCGACGGGAAACAATGGCAATAACTAACAGGGAGCATGAAGTTCTAGTTAATGAGTATAATAAACAAAATGCCGCCAAGCAACAGCAACAGGGAAATATTACCGAATTAGAAAAACAAATAAAAAGTCGCGAAAACATTATTGGACAGCTTGAGGGCAATATATCCAATTTGAAAATAACAATAAATGGAAATCAATCATTAGTGCGGGAATTTAATAATAAGTTACAACGGTCGAAAGAAAAAATCGAAGCACTAAATAGGCAGGAGGATGAGATTAGGAAGGTTATAGCCAAGACTGAGGGTAATATTAAAAAATCAACCGGCTCAATTTCGTCGTTACAAAATGAACTTGCTACGGCTAATAATGCTTTACGCGAACTTGAAAGCCAGCGGGATGAAAAACTTGAACTGATCCGAAATTTAGAAAACGAAAATGTAGACAAGTCTGAACTTATATCCCGTCTGAGGGAAGATGTTAACCGGGTACAGGGGGCAATCGATGATTTGAAAAATATTATTATTATTATTATTATTTTAATTTTAGACTAATGAAATGAATTCTTAGACTAAAAAAAAGACATTAAGCACTAGCAACACAGGCTATCGGCTCTAATTTAAATAAATGGATATTAGATAGTGAATTTAGTAGTATTAAAAAAGTAATATATTGAATTGATATTCTGTTTTGAAGCTGATTGTAGAATGTTCAAAGGGTTAATCGTTCCAAATGCAATACTTCTAGCCGAGGAAAAGTTGAGGCAATCGCAGAGAATGTGCTTTATAGTAAGAGTTTGTCCACAACAGCAGAT